TCCAGCCGGTCGCCGCGGGCGGAGCAGCCTGACCAGCCTGTCTGGGAAGGGGCAGGAGGCGGCGCAGGGGATGGGCCGTCTCCGGGCGGGCGAGGGCGCAGGCCGCGGGGCAGAGGAGGGGCTGGCGCGGTCACGGCGGCAGGAGAAGGAGGCCCTGACAGGAAATCCAAGGTGCGTCATGTCTTGTGGGCAGTTTGCCAGGCTGAGCCTAGTTCAGCAATAGTGCGTTGCACACGCGTTCACGCTCGCTGCACTCGTGCTGGTGTTGCATGTTGCTTTCTGCTGGGGCAGGGGGTGAAGGCTCGTAGCAGGACTCTCCCCCGGGGGGCGGATTGCAGAGTGGGACATGGGGTCTCTCTGGGGGGCACCGGCTCAGGTGGTGGGGAGGAGGACATGGAATCGTAGCAATGCTGGGCTGGAAGGGCCATCGAGAGGTCGTCGCGTCCAGCCCCCGGCACTGAGCCAGGCCACGTAAACCCAGCCCAGCCCTGACGGGGGTTTGTCCGACCCGTCTCCCAGCCGCCCGGGGAAGCCTGTCTCTCCCCCGAGAGTTCGGAAACTTTTCCCGATGTACAGTTGTTCCCTGTTTTGGAGCTGTGCATCTGATTCCGCCCAGTCCCCGCTTCGCAAGAGAGGTGCAAAGTGCTTCACCTGGCTGAATTCAGACCAGTTCTCCAGTTGGTCCCGGTCATTTTGAATCCTAACCCTGCCCTCCAAAGTGCCGGCAGCCCCTCCTCCTGGGCGTCATACACAGACTTGATAAGCGGACTCTGTTATCCACGTCACTAAGGAAAATATTGACTGGTACCAGTCCCAGGACTGGCCCCTGTGGGACCCCCCTGGATCTTCCCTCCCGGTTTGACAGCGACCCATTGATAACTCCTCGTTGAGTGCTGTCTTCAACCAGCCAGGCACCCGCCTTGGAGTAACGTTCTCTAGGCCACATTTCCCTGGTTTGCTTATGAAAATGTCATGTGGGGCTGTGCCAAAAACCTTCCTGAAATCAAGATATGACTCATCTACGGCTTCCCCCCTCGTCCGCTCGGTCAGTAATGCTCTACCGTAGAAGGAAATTAGGTTTGGTTTGGCATGATTGATCCATGCTGACTATTCCTAGTAACCCTGGGGCCTTTCCGCTCTAGGGGGTGCTGGCTCCGATCCAGCCCCTGGGCATTGACTGGCTGGCTCGGGCGGGGGCAGGGAATGGGATGTGGGTGTCCCTGGGTGGTGCCGGTGTCCCCTGGACCTGCTGTGCTCTCTCACTCTTCCCCTTCCCACACCAGGAGTGGGAGGAGCGAAGGCGGCAGAACATCGAGAAGATGAACGAGGAAATGGAGAAGATTGCGGAGTATGAGCGGAACCAGCGGGTGAGTGGGGGGCAGTGAGGGGTGGCCATTTTCCCCGCCCCTGTTTTGCTACCATTGCTGGGAGGTGCAGGGGGATGGTGGATTTCCCCCCTCCCCCCAGGTCCTCTGGGTCCCCTGTGCTGAGCTGTCCGCACCTCAGCGCCCTCCCTGCAGTGGGGCTGGGCGAGACGGTGGGGGAGCCGTGGCTCCGGGCTGACCCTGCCCCTGCCTCTCTGCAGGACGGGCTGCAGGAGAAGAACCCGGTGCGGAATTTCCTGGATGACCCGCGGCGCAGCGGCTCCTTCCAGGAGGCCGACCGCAAGGAGGGGAGCCGGCGGCACGTCCGCAACTGGGGGGGGCCCGACTTCGACAAGGTCAAGACAGGCATGGAGCGGGAGAAGGAGTGGCACGCCCCGGTACGTACCCCGGGGAGGGGGAGTCAAGGGGGCCCTGCATGGGGGAGGGCCTTGGGGTGGGTGTCTGTGGGAGGTGGCGTGTGTGTGTGTGTGGGGGGTGTATCCCAGCCCCCTGCCCCTCCTACCATGGTGGGGTTGGGCCGTGGGGCTGGTGCCCCTCAGGGCAGGGGCTGTGCCTGAGTGGGAGTGTGTGGGGCGGGGTGGGGGTCCCGTCCCACGGCCCTGTGAGACGCCCATTCCTGGCTGCGAGCTGCATGTCTCTCTCCCCCTCCCCGCAGGGCCGCCGGCCAGGCCCCAAGAGCGGGGGGCCGCTGGACATGACGCTGTCCATGACGGGCCGGGAGCGGGCCGAGTACGTGCGCTGGAAGAAGGAGCGGGAGCAGATCGACCAGGAGCGGCTGGCGCGGCACCGCAAGCCCACGGGCCAGTGGTGCCGAGAGTGGGACGCCGAGAAGACGGACACCATGTAGGAGGGCGGCGGAGCAGCGGGATCCCCGGGGCGGGTGGGGAAGGCCCCGGGGCTGCGCTGGTTCTCGGGGGTCTGAGCTGGGTCGCTTGGTGGGGGGGGGAGGCAGATAGGGCCCAGTCTGAGGAGCAGGTGGGGGGCTGGTCAGTGGGGGGCGGGGGTGTCTCTGGGCTCACACCCAGCTCGGGGAGGGGGGGTGTCGCCCGTGGCCGCACTAACCCAGCACGTGTCTTTCAGGTTTAAGGAGGGCTGTGGCTCGGTGCCAGGACCGGACCCGGGCGCCAGGCGTGGTAAGTGACCCCGGCAGCGCCAGGGCCCAGTGGAGACTGGGGTGGGGGGGCTCCCCCTGCCATTCCCCATCCCCACGGGTGGGGATACCGACGCCCTGGCGGAGGGTCGTGGGGGGGGTGTTTTGTCCCTGTGGGACAGCCCCGGGCCCAGGTGCAAGGAGGCGGGGGGCCCTACTGGACAGGATGGGGGTAGTGGGGGATGGGGGACGTCGCACCCTGGGGGCAGTACCCCTGTGGGGGGAGGTCTGTTCCCATGCCTGGGGCAGACCCGCTGGCTCTCCACTGGTTGGACTGGAATTATAGCCCCGGCAAGGACGGACCCTGGGGTGATCCAGAGGCCTCTGCTCCTGGGAAGCGTCGTCCGGCCCTGGCCTGCCTTCCGCACAGCCGTGGGGACGGGCCAGGGGCAGCCCTGCTTTGAGCTCCCGTGCCCCCAGACTGTTAACTCCCTGCTGCCCTCTCCTCTCAGACGAGAACAAGCGCCCCCCCAGGCCGCCCACCTTCGGGGAGTTCCTATCCGAGCACCGGGCCGAGCGCAGGAGGAAGGGCCGGGGCCGACCCGCGCCCGCCAAGCCCTACAGGTAAGTCCACCCTTACCCTGCTGTGTGAGGGCCGAGGGCCGGACGCCTGGGTTTCATTCCTGGCTCTGGGCGGAGGGAGAGGGGTCTGGTAAGTTAGAGCACTGGGTGGTGTGGGGGGCTGGGAGCCAGGACTCCTGGGTTCTGTCCCTATTTAAGCCACTAACTCCCTGCGTGACGAAGGGAAGGGGGGCTCTCACTGGACCTCAGTTTCCCCTGGGCTGGTGTGAACCCCTCCTGAGCTAGTTGGCCCTGTTCGTCGGTGTGTCTGGGCTGGGCTCTGCAGTGCTGGGTGGGGCGGGTGCCGAATGGGGTCTGGCTCGGTTGGGCCCTCCTGACGCCTGTTCCTCCCCCACCCAGCATGCACGACAACCGGTGGGAGAAGGACGAGGGGCCGGTGGCCGAGGAGCCCGACCCCCGCCACGAGGAGCCACAGGTAAGGGGGCGGGGTCCAGCCACGGCCATTCAGGGAACCCCCTCCCCCCCGGTCCTCTCCACAGGTAGCTCGGCCTGCAGCTGTGCCCCATGTCTCCCCACTCCCCCTACAGCCCCGTGTCTCCTACAGCCCCCCCCATCCCATCATGGGGACTCACCCACGCAAGATCAGGCCCTGTCCCACTGTCCCCCACGGCTCCCTGGGTCCTGCTGTCCCTCGTTGTCTGAACATCCCTGCCTTGTGCCAGCAGGTGGAGGTGCTGGCTGCCCAGCTGCCCCCCGAGCCCCGGCAGCCCCCCGACGAGGATGAGGACCAGTGGGAGGATGTTAGTGAGGAGGAGGAGGATGAAGGCCACCTCAGCTCGTCGGGCGAGGAGGAGGAGGCAGCGCCCCCCGTTGAGTCCCCGAAATCCCCGCGGGCCCTGAAGGTTGGGCGGGGCCCAGCCCCCAAGCTGGACATGCCCCCGCCGGGAGCTCATGGAGGACAGGGCAAACCCCTCAGCCCCTTCTCCCCAGCTGAGGGCTACCAGCCTGTCTCAGACTGGGGCGAGGAGATGGAGCTGAACTCGCCCCGGGGCAGTGTGGGGGACAGCCCCCCACAGGGCCCCGGCCCCGCCCCCCAGGCACAGCGGGCAGGGCCCCCTGGAGAGACTGCAGGTAAGGGGCACTGGCCGGGCTCTGCCGGGGGGAGGGGAGGAGAACTGTGGGGGACCGGGGGGCAGGTATCAGGCTGGTCTGGCTTGGGGCGTTTGCCCCGTTTGGACAATGGAGAGGGCCCCAGTGTGGGACTTGGGGTGTGGTCCCAGTGGGATGGGGGAGTAGGGGCTGACAGAGGGGAGGGGTCAGAGGGCTGGAGTACTGGGGGGGGGCATCACCCCAGGAAATAATGGCTCCCAATCTCCCCCCAGCTGCAGAGCCGGGCAGGCGGGGCACGGCAGAGCCCGCCGAGGCCACACAGCAGGAGGAGCCGGCGCGGGACAGGGGATCGATGGCGTTAGCAGCCCCTGGCGGCACGGAGAGGCAGGAGCCGGCCCCCACCACGGCTGGGAGCCCTGAGGAACCGGGGGTCCCTGCGACGCAAGGTGCTGGGGGTGGGCAGGGTCTGAGCTGAGCGTGGCGGGGGGGGCTGGAGGGGGCAAGAGCCGCGGGCTTGCTTGGAACCCCTGGGGGGAGGGGAGGCTCCCCTTGGCCTCCGGGGAACCATGGCTGGGCTGGTAGGGGAGGGGGCTGGCTGGGCTGCGTGTGGGGCTCAGTCCCCGGGGGCGCTCACCCCCAGCCAGGAGGGAGCCATGCGCGGCTGGGCTGGGGGGTTTGCCTGCAGCCCCCGGCTGCTGATGCTCTCTCCCTCTCCTCCCCAGCAGCCGTAGAGACCCCGAGCCAGCTGGAGGCGGAGCCGGTGCCGGGCGCGGTGCAAATCACGGACCTCGAGCGGGTGTGTTTCCGTAAGAGCTCAGCTGTGCCCGCTGGTCGCTAGTGGGACTTGCCCCTTCTCTCTGCCCCTCTACTTCTTCGTGGCCCTGCTGGCTGGGGCACTCCCGCTGCGGACTGACCCGCCTGCCGTGCTGGGCCTTGTCACGGCTCGCTCTGGACGGGGATAGGCAGATCCCAAACAGGGAAACCGGCCGCTGCCTGGCTCGGGGCTGCCGCGCATTCCTGTCCCGGTGTCTGTCCCAGGCAAGGGCGAGACAGGCCCCTTTGTGCATCCGAGGGGGCAGCTAACCCAGGGCCTGAGCCTGCTGGCAGTGGGGTGGGGGGGGATTGACTTTGGTGAAGCAGGATCGGACGGGGTCTGGTCTGAGGACGTGGAAAGCAGCAGCTGCTGCTGGGTCACTGAGGGGCGATCGGTTGAGTGGCTTTAGCTGCTGGGCCTCCCAGCTGGGAGCTCTTCGCTAGCCGCTTGTGCAGCGGGACCCGGATCCCCGCTCAGGGCCCCACAGGAGCTGGGGTCAGTAGTGCAGCAGAGGCACGGATCGGCACTGCCTGCTGGGGTGTGGGGTGACCTGTCTCTGTCAGCTGCACCAACAGAATCCGTGGCTAGGATTCGAACTCATGGCACGTTCTCTCTCTCTCTCTCTCTCTCCCCCTTTGACAGGATAATGGAGAGCCCTGATGCCCCAGAGCCACCCCCGAGGCTGCCACGGCAAAGGTCAGGCGGCTCCCTCCGTGACTTCCACAGATTGGTAGAGCCTCTTTCTGGAGCCGTGCGGGCAGGACGTGCTTTGAGGCTCAGCTGTCTGGATGTTGTCTGGATTAACCTTCCCGGGGGCCCAGCCTGGGGGTGCAGGGGTGTATGTGGGGTGGGTGGCCTGGAGGGTTTATTCTGGTGGGAATTGCATGACCCCGAGCAGCGGGGCGAGGAGGTCGTTCCAGCAAGCGGTGCAAAATGTCTGGGATCCGACGTTCATCTGTCCACAATTAACCTCCCCTGCTGGAGTCCAGGAGGGGCCATGGCGTGTGTGTGTGTGTGTGTCCGTCTAACGGGATCAGGGAGTGACCTAAATCCCGCTGTAAAGACTATGTGAGCCAGGGCCTCTCTTGTGCGCGGCTGCCCCAGTCCTGCCCCGCTAGCTCCGAAGTCCAGGCGAGGGCTGTGGGTTACCGGGGGGCACGTGTATGATCCCCAGCCACCGCTAGCCCTGTCCAAGCCCTACTAGCCAACGTCTCCTGTGCTGGAGCCAGCCGCGCTTTGCCCCTTCTCAGCTGTAACCATTGCAAGGGGCTGTTCTCGGGCTGGCTGAATGTGTCCCCGTCCTCCTGGTCTGCGCTCCCGGGCAGCCGGTTCCACCCACCGCTATGCAGCCCGTGAATCCTTTCCCCAGGGGGTAGGACTCCCCCACCCCGCTCACTGGGGGGGGCAGGAGCCTGGGCTTAGAGGTGTTGTCACTCCCCGGTGCTGCCCTGGCATGCTTGGTTGTCTTGCCCAGGTCTCCTGTGCTGTCCGGCCGCTTTTGATCATGTAAAAGCAATGCCAATGTACCTGACTTTCTTACAATAAAACCTTCACAAAGCCGCTGGGCCTGGCTGTGTCCGGCTCTTCCTGGTGGGGGGGGGAGGGGATGGCAGCACGGCTCTGAGAATGCAGCTTAAAGGGGTGGGGGCACGTGACTTGACAAATCTCTTACCGGGGCAGCCTGTGCTCCTGGGCACTGCCGTGGGGATGGGCAACCTTACAAGTGCCCCTTCACTCGGGCACGCGCTCCCTGTGGAATCCCTCTGGGCCTCGCCATCAGGGCTGTCCAGGTGAGACCGAAATCTGGGCAGCTGGTGCTTTCTGTACCTGTTAAACCCAGGGCCCTGGCTCGATTCCAGCGTGGCTAGTTAATCCCCTGTCCTGAGCCACCCTCCCCCAGCACATTGAAAGCGGCTGTGGCTCCATCTCAAGCAATGGTGCAGCGTTGCTGTGTGCTGTCACGGCTTCCGCCCCAGAGGTGGCTGCACTACAGTGGGTGATCTCTGTGTAAAGCCCGGTCGGGTCCCAGGGGGGACGGGCGCTGGGTAAATGTAGCTGGATTGGTGGAACCAGAAGGAGCACTGCGGTAACATGGGTGGGCGGCTGCCCACCGGCCAGACCTCGGCGCTAAACCTGGTTTCAAATCAGTTAAGAGGTTTAATCTCCTGGACATCAGCCCCCACCGTGGGGACCAGAAGAGCTCAGGAGGCCCTTGCTCCCTTCTAACGGCACCAAACCGCCCCAGCACGGTTCGGCTCACGGGTGCTTTGGCGGCACTGCAGGTGCAGGGCTCCCTGGGGCTGGCTGCTCCTGCAATCAGCGCAGCTGGTCTGTGCGCTGGGCGCTCAGAGCACGCGGCTCCTGGTGACACGGAGCAGTCGCTCTTTGTCCAAGGGGCAGGATTGTGGTTCCCTGGAAGCTACGAAGGGACCTCACACAACTGGGTGACGGGGCAACAAAATGGCAGATGAAATTCAGTGTTGATAAGTGCAAAGTGATGCACATTGGAAAACAATCCCAACTATACCTATAACATGATGGAGTCTAAATTAGCTGTTTCCACTCAAGACTGAGATCTTGGAGTCATTGTGGATAGTTCTCTGAAATCATCCACTCAATAAGAACATAACATAAGAACGGCCGTACTGGGTCAGACCAAAGGTCCATCTAGCCCAGTATCCTGTCTACCGACAGTGGCCAATGCCAGGTGCCCCAGAGGGAGTGAACCTAACAGGCAATGATCAAGTGATCTCTCTCCTGCCATCCATCTCCACCCTCTGACAGACAGAGGCTAGGGACACCATTCCTTACCCATCCTGGCTAATAGCCATTAATGGACTTAACCTCCATGAATTTATCCAGTTCTCGTTTAAACGCTGTTATAGTCCTAGCCTTCACAACCTCCTCAGGTAAGGAGTTCCACAAGTTGACTGTGCGCTGTGTGAAGAAGAACTTCCTTGTATTTGTTTTAAACCTGCTGTCTATTAATTTCATTCGGTGACCCCTAGTTCTTGTATTATGGAAATAAGTAAATAACTTTTCCTTATCCACTTTCTCCACATCACTCATGATTTTATATACCTCTATCATATCCCCCCTTAGTCTCCTCTTTTCCAAGCTGAAGAGTCCTAGCCTCTTTAATCTCTCCTCATATGGGACCCGTTCCAAACCCCTCATCATTTTAGTTGCCCTTTTCTGAACCTTTTCTAGTGCCAGTATATCTTTTTTGAGATGAGGAGACCACATCTGTACGCAGTATTCGAGATGTGGGCGTACCATCGATTTATAGAAGGGCAATAATATATTCTCAGTCTTATTCTCTATCCCCTTTTTAATGATCCCTAACATCCTGTTTGCTTTTTTTGACCGCCTCTGCACACTGCGCGGACATCTTCAGAGAACTATCCACGATGACTCCAAGATCTTTTTCCTGACTACTTGTAGCTAAATTAGCCCCCATCATATTGTACGTATAGTTGGGGTTATTTTTTCCAATGTGCATTACTTTACATTTATCCACATTAAATTTCATTTGCCATTTTGTTGCCCAATCACTCAATGTGCAGCGGCGTCAAAAAAGCAAACAATGTGGGGCATCATTAAGACAGAAAATATCATGTTGCCTCTACCAATCCATGGTACGCCCACTTCTTGAATACTGCGTGCAGATGTGGTTATCCCGCTCCAGCCCTGGAAGGGTTAAAAGCCAGCCCTTGGAGAGGGCTAGGGCTGGGAGCCAATCAGAAAAGGCTGAGGGGCAGCCAATCAGGGCCACTCTGGGCCCTATAAAAGAGCTGTGGGGCCAGAAGGCAGTCAGTCTCTCTGCCTTCTGGCAGAAAGTCAATAAGGAAGTGTTATTTACTCCTTCTCATAACACAAGAACCAGGGGTCACCCAATGACATTAACAGGCAGCAGGTTTAAAAGGAACAAAAGGAAGTATTTCTTCACACAACGCACAGTCAACCTGTGGAACTCCTTGCCAGAGGATGTTGTGAAGGCCAAGACTATAACAGGGTTCAAAAAAGAACTAGATAAATTCACGGAGGAAGGTCCATCAATGGCTATTAGCCAGGCTGGGCAGGGATGGTGTCCCTAGCCTCTGTTTGCCAGAAGCTGGGAATGGGCGACAGAGGATGGATCACTCAATGATTACCTGTTCTGTTCATTCCCTCTGGGGCACCTGGCACTGGCCACTGTCGGAGGACAGGCTACTGGGCTGGGTGGACCTTTGGTCTGACCTGGTCTGGCTACTCTTTGGAAGCAGCGATAAGTGCTTTGGAAGTGTGCCTCCTGCGCACAGAGCAAACCTGCAGTGAGCCCTTGGCCGGCGGCATGGACATAGCACAGCTCTCAGAGGCTAATGCAATCACTGCCCACGCTGTGGGCACCACATAGCCCCACCCTGCCCCCGTTAATCCGTGGAGCCAGCATCTTTCTTCGCTGTAGTGGGGACAGGGAGGTGTTAGAAATCTGACGCAGAAGCCAGCAGACACGAGGAGGAAAGCTGCCTTCGTTAAGACCACAAGGACGGAGCTTCAGATATAGATGCCTCTCTGCGAGCCGCTCTTCTGACTTCAGGGCCAGCTACTCGGGTGACCCACAGCCAGCCACACCAGCCGCTACTGGAGGGACCTGGAGCCACCTTCACCAGCCACTGCTTGGGACGCTCTGGGCAACTGGCTCCGGGGACCGCCCAAGGGAGCGTCAGAGCAGCGGTCCTGGGGCTGCTGGAGCAGTGGCCCCAGGGGTGCCCGGAGAGCAATCCCGGGAGCAGCAGCTGGGGGGCAGTCAACCCCCAGCACTGGAGCAGGGCCCCCTGGAGCAGCGGGGCCCCAGAAGTAGAGATTTAGACGGGTATTATTAGTAAAAGTCCTGGACAGGTCACAGGGCGGTGGATTTTTATTTATTACCTGTGACCTGTCCAGGACTTTTACGCAAAAGACCCCGAGTACATCTTGGCCTTAGCACTAATGCGTGGAGACCAGGTTACTGTGCGCCCGTGTGGACGGGGCTGGAAGGGTGAAAGGGGCGAAGCTGCGGGTGGCAGGGGCTGGCTGGTCAGGGATGGGATTGGGGGTGAGGGTCCCCAGGCACCACAGAGCGGGGAATGGCAAGGGGCAGCGCTCTCTTCTCCAGCCCGAGCTCCCTGTCCGGGGGTGGGGGCGCGGTACCTGTGCCAGGAGGGGTGTGTGGCAGAGGGTCCGTGCAGCCCCGAGAGCTCAGCGGGGGCTTCCTAGTCCTGGGGGCTGCATAGGTGTCTCCCCCCTTCTTTTCCCTGCAGCCAGGCTGGGGGGGGGGGGG